TCATCATCATCATCATCTTCATCATCATCATCATCATCATCATCATCATCATCATCACCATCATCAGCGCGGTATGATGTATAGACGTTGCTGCTAAAAAACCGACGTACGACGAACGGAGTCGTCAGCCTTTACTGGTGGATCTACGAGGGAAAAATTAATAGTGGTGTGGGGAGAGGGGAGGAATCAGACGTCAGAAGTAGCTTGTTTTCGCTTTCTTGCTCTGCTGTATGCAGCAAGTAGGGCGACCCGCCTGGCGGCACCACGCGACGGCCAATTTCGCGTCTGTTTATGTGTCTGTGAGTGTGTGTGTGCAATTCATGGTTGTACATGGGTATGGTACTGCCAGGACACCCACACCTAGAGATGAGAACGATTAGGGCACTCAATCAAAGTCTTGGGCCCAAAAGCTTGGCCACAAGTCAACAGTGTTTGGCGGGAAATGCGATTGCATTTCATTTTTTATAGAAAAAGTCGTCACACATGGTCCATGCCTTATCTTTGAGAACAGTGGACTGTGTTGGTTAGACCTTTAACCATTCTTCAACCTGGCATGAGAGACTCTTCGGATGGACGCCCTGCAGTGTATTCCAAGATGGGTTTCTGTCTCTCTTTGACGACGTCACATTTAAGTTTAACCTTAATGCCTAACTATTCTTTGTATGCTCAAGGGGCCATTTTGTACACAGTTGTTCAGTTTGGAAAAGGATATTCTCCACGCGCAACTTACTTACCTAGGGAAATTTTCTCTCCCGCATCCGGTGGAAGCATGAACACCATCAATGACATACCGGAGATTAGGAGACAAGGCACAATGAGGTTGAACACATAGTACAGAGCCCGTCGTTGTAAGCGAATGTTCATTTTGATATCTATGAAGTCATAATCACAGCATTCGTACCGTTGAGCAAAACGGCGAACTGATGCAGCTGGAATGGGGAGGAGGTTGCAAGAAAAAAACTTGTAAACAGAACAGTATGAACACGTTACATGGTCGTTTTTGTGGGATTTTGCGTGAGCTAAGTAGCTGGTGGACTACATCAGGAAATGTTAAGGCAAGTTGCACCTGGCCCTATTTATCAAGCGAAAAATTCACTGAAAACGGTGTTAAGATGACAATGCAATGTGTGAGATACAAAATGGTATGAAACTTTCCTTTTTTTATCGTGAGGTTGAGGTGTTATGTGCAGAAAATCACAACTATTTAACGTTGCTGCTCGGTGGATCTCTCGGAAATAAATACCATACGACTGGGAGAAAGTGTAATTTCTACAAATCTATTGGTGCGCAAAATCTACCTGCTGCGCGGTGCCACATTGAGCCAAAGCGTTTTGCTCAGGCGTCCGTGCGTCTCATTGGTTGAAGGAACACGTACTTGCGCACGCAGGCACGCACGCACACATTCCAAACGCACGAATGCCGCATGCACGCACCGTCGCGCACGCAATCGAACGCACGAATCCGCACACACTCAGAAACATGCATTATACAGGCGCCGAGTAAAAGTAACTCATGCTATGCTCTCCAATTGCTTTTTTACTTCATCACATGATCCGGTGGATGATTCGGTTCAGGTGGTCTGGGTCAGAGTACACTGAGTTTCGGAGGCACCAAAACCGTCACAACAGGATGGGTTTCTGTCTCTCTTTGACGACGTCACATTTAAGTTTAACCTTAATGCCTAACTATTCTTTGTATGCTCAAGGGGCCATTTTGTACACAGTTGTTCAGTTTGGAAAAGGATATTCTCCACGCGCAACTTACTTACCTAGGGAAATTTTCTCTCCCGCATCCGGTGGAAGCATGAACACCATCAATGACATACCGGAGATTAGGAGACAAGGCACAATGAGGTTGAACACATAGTACAGAGCCCGTCGTTGTAAGCGAATGTTCATTTTGATATCTATGAAGTCATAATCACAGCATTCGTACCGTTGAGCAAAACGGCGAACTGATGCAGCTGGAATGGGGAGGAGGTTGCAAGAAAAAAACTTGTAAACAGAACAGTATGAACACGTTACATGGTCGTTTTTGTGGGATTTTGCGTGAGCTAAGTAGCTGGTGGACTACATCAGGAAATGTTAAGGCAAGTTGCACCTGGCCCTATTTATCAAGCGAAAAATTCACTGAAAACGGTGTTAAGATGACAATGCAATGTGTGAGATACAAAATGGTATGAAACTTTCCTTTTTTTATCGTGAGGTTGAGGTGTTATGTGCAGAAAATCACAACTATTTAACGTTGCTGCTCGGTGGATCTCTCGGAAATAAATACCATACGACTGGGAGAAAGTGTAATTTCTACAAATCTATTGGTGCGCAAAATCTACCTGCTGCGCGGTGCCACATTGAGCCAAAGCGTTTTGCTCAGGCGTCCGTGCGTCTCATTGGTTGAAGGAACACGTACTTGCGCACGCAGGCACGCACGCACACATTCCAAACGCACGAATGCCGCATGCACGCACCGTCGCGCACGCAATCGAACGCACGAATCCGCACACACTCAGAAACATGCATTATACAGGCGCCGAGTAAAAGTAACTCATGCTATGCTCTCCAATTGCTTTTTTACTTCATCACATGATCCGGTGGATGATTCGGTTCAGGTGGTCTGGGTCAGAGTACACAACCGTCAAAACTCTTGGATCAGAGTTGTAAGAACATATCGACCAATATTATGGATGCCGATATGTTTTGACGAGATCGCAAGAGTTTCAGGATAGAACGCCTTGGCCTTGGTATTCTGATTGTAACCAAAATAATCTTTTATGAAATTCAGGTATTGCAGACTCGCTATTCCCATACACCCTTTTCTCGGCTTTAATTTGTGGTTAAACTCATCTCCGTAGCATGGTTTCGTTAGCTACCAAGCCCTTTACACAAATGGACGTCTCACTTAAATACCGTAGATTTTCGTTGAATAATTTCCTGAAAATTGTGTGAACAATAGGTTACACTGACCACTTACATTTAAGGTGAAACTCTCCATTTGCAGAATACTCTGAGAGATCGACTGTTCCGTTTATTGAGCAGTCTGGGACAGAAGAATCAATACACTGCAAACGGAAATCGACCTGATCTCCATTGTACGACTGCCGGCCGAATTTGAGCATGCAGTTCTGTTGGTAGAAAGCAGTTACAAACAAACGGTTTCAGCAGATGTCTAAGATAGTATGATGGGTTTCAGAATCTCCATTGTACGACCAAGTGCCGAATTTGAGCATGCAGTTCTGTTGGTAGAAAGCAGTTACAAACAAACGGTTTCAGCAGATGTCTAAGATAGTATGATGCAAGGGTTTCAGAACCGGTCGATGGGTGTAATTTTGACTACTGTTTTCTTCATAAGTAATTAAACTTAGCTGATGCAGTTGCTGGTAGCGGTGACAGCTCATAGTTCAAGTAAATACAACCAGGAATTAATCCAGCCAGGTTGACTTTCCCATCCCCTAGGCATACTAAAGCCGTGCGTCAAGATCTTTGTGGCGCACAGGAACGGTTGGTAAGGCCATCACCTAAAAGCTAACAGTTTCTGATTAACCGTGGGGTTTGGAAGCGAAAATTCTATCTTCCTTTCTAAAATCATATCAGCAGCGCTGCAAGCCAAGTTAACCATTCAGCCTGGGCAGGCTTTAATCACATTTCTTACTACTTTTTCTCATTTGCGTTCATTTCGTCTTCCGCGAGCAGATGGATTGTTTTTCAGAAAAACAACCCCCTCCATCTTAGTTGATTTTAAGTTAGAGGCAGATTAATACGGTCGTTAATTCCAGGCGACACTTACTCAAGGGTGCATTCCAACTGAAATTCATTCAGTATCTTGCAAGCTATAACCCTCGGCGTCTTTTTTGCATCCCCTAAAAGTATACTTCACCTGATTCCCCGAACTCGCCTTCTCCAAAACATGACAGCATTGATCGGTGGTCCAGGAATCCACTGATGTTAGTGACCTAGTAATCAGCTGATTCCCGGAGCACACCCCGCTTACGATCGACAAAAGAACTGATAAAACCTTGAAGTTTTTATCTCATTAGTTGCTATTGATTCCACTTTTTTCCTCTGCATCGATAATTCCTAATCCTGAATGCTGAGCAGTGCTCACTATCTGCTGTTCGGCCTACACAGCCTGCATGGTTGAGCGATAATCATCAAGCTGGAACCAATTTGAGGCAGCGATTAAAAAATCATGAATAGCAATCGAAACCCGTGGGACCGAATTCTATCACTCCGTTTTGTACTGCTGACTGCAGAGTACAATTCTGAGTAGACCGCAGTATCGATCGATACTTGGATCGCTAGACACCAGTGTCATCAGTCAACAGCTGTCAGTCGTTGGTATAACCACCCACAGGTTATGATGTTTCTGTCTTTTTTTTTTGTCAAATCGCCTGCATGGTTTACTCAGGCCATATCGGTCGAGAGCGGACAAACTGCGTGGGCGTGTCAGGACGTACTCAGACATGAAAAAAAAACATGTGCAGAGAATGACGCATCACCAAGGTCACTATCGGTACGACACGTTCGGAAAGCAGGCGCGTTGGCGGAGCTCACCAAACACGGCTTAGCAACATAAGACCAATGGAGTGGACTTGAAATTATTCACGACCGGAACACCGCCACGGAACAAACAAGTGAACGACCATATTTGGCCATTTGGTCATCCTATACATATTTAAGCAGAAGCTCTGTATGTTTTGTCCTGGCAGTACAGCCGTGTCCCGAGTTCTCTGTCTTCTCCTTATCGCGTAGTCTGGCAGGCTCAGTGCAGGCGTAACCAAAAGAGGCCCACGCACGATACAACAGGGTGCAATCCTTCTAACTGGCCAAGATTTCCCTGTCAAAGAGACTGCGGCTAAAGAAATCGTTCTGTTCCGTTGTGATTTCTTACCTAATAGCACTTGTTACTAAATAAGCATATAATCAGACTGTACTCGGTAGAACGGGAGCCAAAAGTTCATTGGGGCTAGACAAAACCGTCAGCGCCCGTTTTAGCCTTCAACCTATCATTCAGACAGAAGCCACAATCAGTAGAGCTGAGTTGTACATTGTCAACCTCGGGAATTTCGAAACTGATAGTAGGTTGTCCAGAGTAGCCTTCAAGACAAACTCTCTGAGTTGGATGTATGAAAGACTAGAATGTTCTTGGTTCGAATCCAACGCGGGAATGTTGGATAATCCTGTCAAGGCTTGAGTAACCCATCAGTATCCCGACGTTCGTGCTTCTTTTGTTCGTGGAGCACAGCAGCTAGGCAGCAAACTATGGTCCAAAACGTTACAGAGGCCACTTCAAACTAGGTGAAAATTGAAACATTTCCGTCGAAGCAATTTATTCTATTCGTTTGAAAACAGTTATTCAAATTTGTGGGGCTTTCGGTCTTCAAGTTCATCCGCAGATGCACGGCGGATATCGCGACTTGCACAGTCTGAAGAAACATTCTGGTTCCCTTTGTAATGCACTACTCATAAGGTTGCTGAAAATCCGTCGACAGCCCACGACAGGTTTCGCTGTTTTTGGGCTCATCAGGTAGCCGCAATCCCCGGGTTTCCGTCGACTTTATGCTCTACTTGAAACCAAATTGCACGAAATTGGCGAATATGCACTCATTTGCAAACTAATTTGTTTTTTTCGAGAGACTCACCAGGAACCCAGCTGAATCTCTCGTCTGTGATGTTTTCAGGCAACCTTATGAGTAGAACATTATAGAGATATACATGTATCGGGATATCTCGAATATCGTAGTGACTGAAACATGAGGCGGCCTGGCGCAGCACATTCAGTTGCCTGAAAACGGCACAAACGAGAGATTAGCTGGGTTCTTAGTTTGTAAATGAGTGTATGTTCGCTAATCGTGGTTTCCCTTTAATCATGTCCGGCCAGTGTAGCTACTTGTTCTTTAGAAGTAGTATATGTTTATTAGCGAAATAAACTCATTCGCAAACAATTTTTTTGCGGGAGGCTCACCTGGGACCTGGCTAAACCCCTCGTTTATCTGTTCGTAAATGAGTGTATTTCGCTCAGTTCGTGCAATCTGGGCTCGACTGGAGCATAAATTTGACTGAAACTCGGCGAATGCGCTTACCTGATTTGCCTCAAGAAGGGCGAAACCGGTCATTGGCTGTCGAAGAATTTTCACTTCCCAAAGTCGTTAGCCACACAAGTATTACAGTACCCACAGAAATAAATCAGGAATGCGCAGTTAAAACCACACTGACATGGTGTGGAAAATGCCATCACTTTCGGAACTCAAAAATGACTTTTTCTACTTGATTCAATTCATCTGAACCTTCAAAATCGACCGTCAAATTGTCAATGTATTACTTCTCTGTAATTCAGTAATATGCGGTATCCATCCCATTTTGCGAAGCTTCTCTTTGGAAAATTCTGATCAGAGTTAATGCTCATGTTTTTGTCTTCTGTCGGCAGACACCAGAACTACTTGGTTTTTTCGCCCGGAACTCAAACTGTGATTGCACGTGCCCCCAGCGAATTCATTCCTTCATGAGATAATGGCTATCGCCACCTGTGCACTAATAAGGTTCCTGACAGGCAAACACTTCTGGTTCTTTCAAAACCGTACTCAGGTGTTGATTAAAATGTTTTCACTATCTGTTTTCCTCGAAAATATTTCGCCACAATGGGTCTTCTACTTGTACCAACGTGACTGTAATCTATAAACTAACACAGAATTAGGAGATGGCTCAACGATTAGTGTGGTAACTTGGTCAACGGTTCGACCCCGGTTTTAGGATCTCAAATGCTCTTATTTAGGCTTGCGCAGCCTGATGGAATCTCAGCACTCGAGCTTCCTTCACGTGACTTGGCAGCCAAGCTGAACGCTTATTCATCTTACTATAAATTGTCCCGACAAAGGTATATCAGAGTAGAGCAATCAAACTGCACTTATGTCCCAGCTTCCAGTAAAGTCCACCTCTAAGCAAGGGCCATTATTGGAAAGCCATTGAGCACTGCCCCATTCGGACCGTGTGGTTAGCCAGATAAATGGATTTAGTATGCAACGTCACGTTTTATGAGTCATATAGACAACCGCGTTCACTGACAAACTTTCGAAATTTTTCACGTGATGGGTCTAACCCAGGAAAATCGATAAAATGCTTGGTCCTAGTGACGGTTTATGACCTGAGACATTTGGTTGGGTCACGTGCCCCTCAACACCGGGTACGTTCAATTTCTTCCGAACTGAACAGAAGTCTGATCCGCAGTTTGGCCGATGACACTGAATCTTAAAGGTCGTGTGTATCAGGATACAGTAAGAGCTGTGTTGTTGTATGGGTGCGAGACATGGCCTCTGCGGACAGATGATGTGAGGCGTCTTC